CAAGTGTTCCTTTAAAATATTGGTTGCCTGGTGTTGACACTAACATTTCATATCAGGGGAGGAGGATGTGATTATTGTAGTGCCCCAAACTACTTTTTGGTTCTCTATGTAGTGTCTTAAAATAACACAAGCACAGTGACACTGACAAGTGTGTCTCCATTCTAATGATTTTCAAATTAAGGAATGGCTCCAAATTAGGAAAGCTTTTTGTTCATCTAGCTTTGGAATAGCATGATGTATGATAATTGCTAACTTTGTCTGCATTATTTTTTAAAGATCAAATGGGCACAGTGGTATTTTTCATTAATCTCATACAGAGCAGCTAATTAAAATTTCCATTATTATCCATCCATTATCTAGTTGTTTCCTTTGTTCAGTATCAGATCAGGGTGTTACTAATAAGCCATTCTTGTATTACAGCACTATTTAATATAGTGAGAATTAGTTTAATCTATTGAACTGTTTTTTAGATGATTTCTTTAATATTATGTTACACCATATTGATATGCTGAAGATTCTTTGACCTTTTGTAATAGATATTTCAGAATTAAATACTTGTTGCTTTAGTTTTTTTGTTTTGTTTTGTTTTGTTTTGTGTGTTTTTTTCAATTGTGGGAAAAAGTGACATACAGTAGAAAAAGAAGTAACCCAAGGACCAGAATATTAGTGTTTCATTCTTGTAATCTTACTAATTATGTGAACTTGGGCAATCACCGTGATTCTCTATTTCTGTAATGAGAGCATTAGAATAGCTGATATTTAAGGGCCAGTACAGCCTTCATATGTTTTCATAATTATCAAGTATGATTTTATGTTAAAACCCCTAAGCTATCCTAAACTCATAAAAGGCATTTGTTCTACCCCAGCCAGTTTGGCTCAGTGGATAGAGTGTCGGTATGCAGACTGAATGGTCCCAGGTTTGATTATAGTCAAGGGCACATTCCCTAGTTGTGGGCTCCATCCCCAGTAGGGGTGTGCAGGAGGCAGCCAATCAATGATTCTCTCTTATCATTGATGTTTCTGTTTCTCTCTCCCTCTCCCTTCCTCTCTAAAATTCAATAAAAATATTTTTAAAGCCGAAGCCAGTTTGGCTCAGTGGATCTGAAAGGTCCCGGGTTCAATTCCGGTCAAGGGCATGTACCTTGGTTGCAGGCACATCCCCGGTGGGGGATGTGCAGGAGGCAGCTGGTCGATGTTTCTCTCTCATCCACGTTTCTAGCTCTCTATCCCTCTCCCTTCCTCTCTGTGAAAAATCAATAAAATATATTTTAAAAAATATATTTTTAAAAAGATATTTGTTCTATAAGGCTATGTAATTTTTTTCTTGCTCCCTTAGATCAATTGCTTCCACTCCTTATAACCATAGATTATCCCAAATTACATAATTTAAACTTGTTTTTAAGACTAGGGGGAATGGTGGGTCCCAGTGTAAAGGGCTGGTCCAATTGTTCCATAAATAGTATCTCAGCCTTGACCATATAGAAGCAAGGAACTATCATTTCCTGAGCAGCTTACTCTGTAACACAACACATATGAAACATCTGTTTTAGGCACTTCATAGTCATTGTCTTACTTAATCATCATAACAAATGTGAGGGGGCTAGGTGTTTATTACCCCCTATACCATACATGAACAAACAGGTTTCTAGAGATTAGTTCAATAACCTGCTCAAAGATTAGCTGGAAGGTAAGTGAAGGGGTGATGATTCAAACCCAGAGGTAGTTTAAGTGGTCCCCAGCATGCCATCATATGCTGTCTCAATTTACCTGTTCTATACTAGCATATCTGAATATATTATACTGGAATGTCTCATGTAATATTCTGAAGTGAAATTTGGGAGCTTTTGCATGTTGAAACTCATCAGTCATTCACCTATTTGTTTATTCTCCATCCATCCATCCATCCATCCATCCATCCATCCATCATTCCAGAACTATGTATGAAGTAATTTCTATATGCCAAGCAGTGTTATGGTCTGGAGATAAGGTGGTAAAAAAGGTTGGCAAGATTTCTGTCTTATAGAGCTTATGTTTTAATGAGGAAGACACATTAAACAAAGAAAATGCTAAACAAGATTATCTTATATAAAGTTAGTACTATAAATGAGGTTTGCAATGGTGTTGGATGATAATTGTTGTGTGGAGGGGAGAAGACTGTTGGGCTGAATCTTGAATGATGAGAGCCATCAATGGAAAGGTCAGGGATCAGAGTTTACCAGGCCAAGAAAACAGCAAATTCTAAGGTCATTCTGCAGGCATAGCTTTATATAAAAGTTTCCAGAGGATCAGTAGAGCCTTGCTATCCATTAATTAAGAAAAAAAAGTGTGAGGATCATATGAAAGTGGTGTGTGGTAGTACACTTGCACAATTTTATGCTATAAATGTTTAGTTGCAGAATCCCTTGTGAATTTGCAGCCTTAAGAGCTGAATAAGTTATAGAAATGTGGAAATGATTTCACTATGATGGTTTTACTTACTGTGGTAGATTTCTTGAACATCTGTATATCCTAACAAAGCAAGAAAAATCAGGTCAGTGTGGCCAACACACAAAATATAGGTGCTAAAGAAGGAAATAGTATTCCTTGTTTTGTGATTATTATGGGCAGATTCAATAACAACATACTTTTGTTGTGGCTCACCAAATTCAGTCACTGTTAGATACTTGGCGTACATGAACTTCCCAGTTTAAAGAGACAGACACAAATAATTATCTTTGTCACAATGTGTTAAGTGCTATAGGAGTGATGGCACCACAGTGCAATAAGAAAATGGAGTTTCCGTATATGGAACTTAAATGTTTACTGGAATTTTATTTTTTTATTTTTTATTTTTAAAAAATATATTTTATTGATTTTACACAGAGAGGAATTGAGAGGGACAGAGAGTTAGAAACGTCGATGAGAGAGAAACATCGACCAGCTGCCTCTTGCACACCCCCCATTGGGGATGTGCCCACAACCAAGGTACATGCACTTGACCAGAATTGAACCCGGGACCTTTCAGTCCGCAGGCCGACACTCTATCCACTGAGCCAAACCGGTCCCGGCTTTTTACTGGAATTTTAAAACATTAAGACATTATGCATGATTAACAATTTCTATATTGAGAAGGTATCCTCAATAAAAAACCAATAGTATAATTTTTTTAAAATTATCAAATAATATGACTTCTACCAAGTGGGAAAAATTTTTATTTCCTTACTGTAGCTTAGATACTTAGCAGAAACTGAGTGTAATGTACTTAGCAGAAACTGAGTCTAATTTGTATGAACTTAGAAAATGGTAATCAAGCTAGAGTTTTTATTCAGAGGGATATGCTTGTAATATAGGAAAAGGGCAGTTATGGCCATGTTTGTCTATAAAGTAAAACTATCAGTTATTGTTACAGTGAATGTGTTGATGTTTTCTTCCTAGCCTTTCACTCAAACTAATTATATAGTTACTAGAGGCCCAGTGCACAAAATTTGTACATGTGGGTATGTGTCCCTAAGCCTGGCCTGCACTCTCTAGCAATCCAGGACTACTGGCTCCTAACTGCTCACCTGCCAGCCTGCTTGATAGCCCCTAACCACTCTGCCTGCCTGATCGCCCTTAGTCACTGCCCTTAGTCACTGCCCTTGCCTGCCTGATGACTCCTAACTGCTCTTCCCTGCCGGCCTGATTGCCCTAACTATATCTGCCTCAGTGGCTGCCACTGTGGCTTTGTCTGGAAGGAGGACTGGACAACTGCATGATGTCCAGTCGACCTAGTGATTAGCATATTACCCTTTTATTAGTATAGATGGCAAGGTGGTGAAGCTAAAGAACAATGACATGATAATGAGTTCTAGAAATAAAATAACACCATATACTGGAAATTAAGCTAAAAATTACTCATGATAAGATAAATGAATTTAATGACTTTTTAAAAAATATATATTTTATTGATTTTCCACAGAGAGGAAGGAAGAGGGATAGAGAGCTTGAAATGTCAATGAGAGAGAAACATCGACCAGCTGCCTCCTGCACATCCCCCACCGGGGATGTGCCCGCAACCAATGTACATGTCCTTGACCAGAATCGAACCTGGGACCCTTCGGTCCGCAGACCAACGCTCTATCCACTGAGCCAAACTGGTTTCGGCTTAATGCCTTTTTAAGATTCATCTATAACAAAGTAACAAAGTTAGAAAGAAATAGTTGGGAACTGAATGTTTTCAATTAATTTAATTAATGTGCTCATTGGAAACTGTTGCTTTACATTTTAATAATTTTTACTTGTTTGTTGAGATAAGCTGATACTGGTATTTTAATAAATGTGGGTAATGTATAATGTCTTATATTAAATTTCATGCACTGTATTTTGTGAAATCTATCTATATAAAAGTCTAAGTGACCAAACAACTGGTTAACCGGTCAACATGATGCAAATTGACCACCAGGGGGCAGACGCTCAACACAGGAGCTGCCCCCTGGTGGTCAGTGCGCTCCCACAACCAACCTCCTGCGACCTCTACCCCAAGCCAACCTCCTGTGGCCCTGATCAGCCCTGATCACTGGCGAGGCTGAGGGACCCCACCCATGCACTGGGCCTCTAGTATAATATAATACCTTAGTAAGAAAAATTAAGATGATGCTAAATGTTCATCCTGTGGGTTAAGGATCAACTACTGTAATATTAATCCTGATGCCTGGATTGTAAGTGTAAGCAATCCTGCCAGTGATGCTTTATGCAACTCAAGTCCATATTCTATTCAAGGTCATGATCACCAGCAGTGCAATTTTTTTTTTTTTTTTTTTTTTTTAATGAGGCTGGGGAGAGTGTTGAGATATACACAATGTGATTTTACCACTTCAGTTCTATGACAATGAATTTTTAAGTACCTAGTACTCTGCATACATTTTTATACAGAAAAATCTAAACATATTCTATGCATTATTTTATTTGAAAGTTTTCTTTAAAAACAAAAACAAAAAACAACCTGTTGTTTTTCTGAAATGGTATCTTTCTTTCCCCCACAGGGAGGGCTGAAAAACAGCAAACATGAATGCACTCTGTCTTCACAAGAATATGTTCATGAATTACGATCTGGGATTTCAGATGAGAAACTTCTTAACTGCCTAGAATCTCTGAGGGTTTCTTTAACCAGCAATCCTGTCAGGTAGGTGGCTCTTATTTGTTTTGGTATGATTCATGCAAGTTGTACTGTATATAATTGTTTGGGAATATAATATGTCACTCATTTGAACCTCAAGATAGATTTCTGACTAGAAATCTAATGTTAATAAAACTGCAGTATCTGATTATGAGATTGTAAGCACTTAGATAATGTTATTAATATGATTTTTAATAATTTGCAGTTTTAAGAATACAAATATACTTAGGCATTTGATTCATCTTTGCTTATACAAACATGGATTCACAAGTTAATTGTGTACTTAAATAATGATTACTATACATTTATTTGTAAACCAAATTCAGTACATTGGTTCTATGATATTATTCCTTTTTTAACTTGAGAAGTAAATATAATTTTACATTATACAAGTTTTAAATATACTACTAAACATTTCTGTAATTTGGGGTAGGAAAAATAAAATTATTTTAACCAAAAAAAGAAATAATTGATAAAATATTAATAAACTCTTCAAAATTATTAAAGAGGATTTTTAAATAAATTCCTTGCTAATGGTTTATTACAGTAACTGACATTCCTATATTAACCATAAAAAGCCTTTAATTTAATTACACCAAAATTAAAATGTTTTTATAAGGAAAATAGATTTTCAGTGTAATATGAAAATATTTTGGGATCTAGTTACACAATTGCTAGACTCTTAAGTTCAGAAATTAGTGCATAAGACTATATAGAAATTGTATTTCTATTTTATTCACTAGAGGTTTGGTGCATGAAAATTTGTACAGGTGTGTGGGGGGGTCCCTCAGCCTGGCCTGCTCCCTCTCACAGTTCAGGAGTCCTCAGGGGATGTCCTACTGACAGCTTAAGAAGTGGGCCTAAGCCTCAGCGTGGCCTCCTTCTATGGGAGGTGACTGGACTGATCAGAGGAAGGTAATGCCCCCATCACCCCGCTGCTACTGCCACTGCAGACACAGCCACGGGGTTCACGGCTGCCTGAGCCCTGGGCCTTACAGCTGCTGTGGTTTTGTCCAGATGGACATCTGGATGGACGTCTGGAAGACATCTACCCTAATTAGCATATTAACCTTTTATTAGTATAGATATTTTTCTTAATATATAATGGGTTACGATCTTCTTACTTCTCTGACCTAGCCACAGAGCCTTGAAAAATAATTTAGAGCTGAGCTTAGTCATTCTGCTTGGATTTATGTATAAATTGAAGTATATCATAGTACACTTGACTCTTCGACAACATGAGGATAGGAGTGCCTATCGCCAATTGAAAATCGGCTTATGACCTAAGATAGATCTCTGCATAACTGGATTCCCAGAGCCAGTTGACCCTTATACAATGCAGCTTTGAACTGTGTGAGTATATGTGAACTTGTGTTGTAATAGGTATTTATTTTAATCTATAATGCATTTGGCAGAAAAACTGGAAAATTATGATTCTATAATACAAATTTAAAAAGTAAAACTGTACAATGTAACTTACATTTCAATACATTCACAGGTGGCTATCTTGCCATTTCTTCCAGAATGCTTCTGGTTTTAATGACTTGAACAGGATGTGAGTTCTTTGAGAACTGTAACTAACCATGGTGGTGAACCCCACAACCCGAGTCAACCGTGCCTGCCCTCCATGTTCCCCCAGCCGCTGCCGCCCCTCTCCCTGTCATGTCCATGTCCCGCCTCCTCCCTCAGCTCATGTGACCACAGCGCTCCACCATAGTGCACTTGTGTGTTCGGAAATTTCCTTTGGTTAACTGACTGAATGGCGGAATAAATTATTCTTTAAGAAGTGACTATAAAATAAGGTGACCAGACATCCCGCTTTTGGCGGGACAGTCCCGATTTCTAACAATTTATCCCACGTCCCGCGGCGTTTTAAAAAAGTCCGGAAAATGTCGTGGGACACGGAACAAATTGTTAAAAATCGGGATTGTCCTGCCAAAAGCGGACGTCTGGTCACTTTACTATAAAAGTATGTTTCATTTAAATTATTTGAACAAAGGATTGAGTTCTTTCAGAGGTTCTGCGGAGGTGAAGTAATTATGGTGGTAGTTTACTCCCTCGACACCCCTGTCCCACCCCCTGTACCCCTGCTTCCCACTCCCCCAGCTCCCCTCTTCAAGTCCTCGTCTCCTCGTCTCCTCACATCGTGTACGGCACTCCGCCATGCTGCGCCTGTGCCTTTTCAAATTTCCTTTGAATGGCTGATGGAGTGAATAAAGGAATCTTTAAGAAGTGACTGTCGAAGAAGTTGTGAAATTTCGGCATGGAGGGGTCAGGGGAAGGTAGCAAAACTGCCTTTTTATTAGATGGCAGCAAAGGCCTAAAATTATACGCGGGCCTTTTAAAAATGTAGCCCAGCAAGCACCAGGCGGCTCTGAAGCATGGCGGGATCACACAGCCAGCTGGCGGGCCCTGATTGGCTGGAGGCAGCGCCAGGCTTATAGCCGATTGGCTCCGTGGGCGACGTGAGGCTACAGACGTGCGTTCCTGCCGTAAGCCAGGCACTGGGTGGTGGCCTCCGTGGTGGCCGGAGCTCGCTCGAGGAACTCGGTGACTGGAGCCCGTTCCACAGCCCTCGCGGACCCCAGGCAAGTGCCGCTGCGCTCACCCACCTGCCTGAGCCTGTGCCTGTGCCTGTGTCTGTGCGGGTGCCTGTGCCCTGTGCGGGGTGGTTAGGATGAGTAAGTTTGGGAGCCATGGCGGCTTTTCTGCCCCAGGCGGAGCCACTGGCAGCAATGACGGCCCCTCTCAGGGTGGCGCGGCTCCTTTTCTGAGGGCTCCAAGGTCCAGGGCTCGAATCGAGACCATTATCCCTTGTTGCGTGAACCAGCTGCTCACGGCCTCTCTGGTGGAAGATGTCTTCAGGGTCCGGGGAATAGTGGTTTCCCAGGTCTCCATCGTGGGGATCATCAGGAAGGTGGAGAGAGCGCCGAGCTACATTCTCTACAAAATCGATGATATGACCACTAAGCCTATTGACGCCCGCCACTGGCTGGGCAGAGGCAAAGCCAAGCAGGCGCCGGCTCCGTGCCCGGTGGGAGTGTACGCCAAAGTGTTCGGTATTCTCAGAGGTTCTGCCGAGGTGAAGCTCCTCGAGGTGTTGCAGATCCGTGTCCTGGAAGACATGAACGAGTTCACCTCGCACATCCTGGAGACAGTCAACGCGCACATGATGCTGGCGAAAGCCCGGGAGGAGGCCTGCGGGCCAAGCGCGCCCCCCGCTCTGTCCGAGGGGGGCTTGGCGCCAGAGTGTGGCGAGGTCCGCCCCGAGTTTATTCAGGCGGAGGTGCTGCGTCTGATTCACCAGTGTCCTCGCCAGGAAGGCAAGAGCATCGGAGAGCTCCAGGCCGAGCTCGGCAGCCTGAGCACGAAGGCCATCCAGGAAGCCCTGGAATATCTGATGGTCGAGGGCCACATCTACCCCACTGTGGATGGAGAGCATTTTAAGTCTGCCGATTGAGGCATTGAGGAGAATTTTCCATTTCTGAAGACCACTGCCTCCGGCTGTGACTGAGTTTGACCTGTTGACTTTTAGAAAGTAGGTTTATTTTTCAACAGAAATCTTAACTGACATCCCTTTGGAACCTCACTGCTTTTACAACAGCTTTGAACTTTTCTGTTTTTCTAACTATATTTGAAGCTCAGAGAGAGCTCGAGATGGATAAATTGATTGGACCTTTGTAGAATTTATCAGCAAGCAAGTAAAAATACTCAATCGGGTAAATTTAGGGGCGAAGAGGTACAGAAAAAGTTGAAAATTTTGATTTTGTTGTGTGGGAGCTTCTTTTTGAAATGTATAGGTATTCGGAGAAAAAAGATGTAGTCATGGAGCCAGCTAAGAGACCAAAAAGAAAAAAAATGTTGTTTTTGTAATTACTTATTTTTTATTTGGATTTAGCTTATTATAGACATTGTCATCTCTTACTAAATATAGTAGTGGATAAATTCAAATGTGCTAAAGATAGCACTTAGTGAATTCAAATGCTCAATTCAAGTGTTTATTGAATTGTTTACTTTTATAACCATAGGTTTATTTTCTTAAATAAGATTATACTGTGTTTAAATTGCAGGGTCATCTTTGAATGCTTTTTTAAAAAAGTGATTGTTTAATGGATATTTCAAATAGGATGTAGTGATATTTGGATTAAATTACAATGTGTTGTTGTTTTATGGTACATGGATGCCTGATTTTCTTATGTTTGATGTTCTAAAGTAGTTTTAGACCTAAACGCTGTTTTATATAGAAGGTTTTATTCTTATAGGTTAGGCAAACAAAGAATATGTAATTCTAGGTATAATAAGCTTAGTAAGGTTAACCAAAATTTTTGAATGTTTTATTAAAATACTTTTGCAAAATCTTTATTGTGTGGTTTTTTTCTAAATACACTTTAAAAAACCTTTTGCTTTGTCTTTGAGTAATAATAATTTTACATATCAAGCATACTTTTTCTTTTTTTCTGTGTAATACTAATAATATATATTATATCCTTGTTTTAATAATACATTTCAGTATATAGTATATTACCTGTGGGACTTTAAAAAACAGAATGAAGTAAACCTTTAATTATACATTAAAGATGGTATCTTCCAAGTCATTAATCTTATTGTGTTAGAATTTTATTCTAACACTTCCAAGTCACTAATCTTTATTGTGTTAGAATACATATTTTCTTTGGTAATATGTAGAGTTGGAATAGTTCAGTGAATAGCACTTAACATTATGTGATTTGTTTTTACATAGCAGAGTGATATCCCTTAAAGGAGTAACAAAATAAATTACTCTTTTCAACAGCTTACATTCTAGTAAGAGAAGTCAGATAAATTTTAAAATTATATACATAGCATGTCAGGTTGTGATCTCTGCTGGAGAGGGGATGTTGCTATTTTGTATCAGGTGGTCAGTGAAGGCCTCTCTGACTTGAGTTGTATTTGAGCAAAAGTCTAGATGAAGTGTGGGAATTAGCCATGTTATCCACTGGAGGAGGGAAGTTATGAGAAACAGGAAACAGCAAAAGCAAATGCTTGCCCTGTTACACACATGTCAGAGGCCAGTGTAGCTAGAGGCATAGAATGTGGTGTCTTGGGAGCCATTGGAAGGACTTGGGCTTTTACTCTGAGAGAGCTGGGAAGCTGTTAGAGAGTTTTAAGGAGAGTAGTGGCATGACCTGATTTACTTAGATTTTTAAAGGATAACACTGAGTGGAATCAGGCAGCTAGAAATTACTGGAATTCCAGGAACATTTGTATAGCTACTAGCCTCATGGAGGCTGATATAGAAGAAAGTCATTTGACATCCCCTGGTAGTCCTAGAACCTGATTATTTTTGTAATGAACTTCTCTCATCTCAGCAGCAGAAATTCATTGAGCATCACTCTGATTAGTTCCATTATCAGCTTCCTTTCCTGATATTAACTGCCTAACCTTCTCTGTATTGCCCAGGTGAGATTCTTTTTTTTAAACATTTTGTTGAAAGTATTACATATGTCCCCTGAATAACCTCCTCTACCCCGCCCCCCCTCCCACACCAGGCATTCAGCACCCTAATATCTGTGTCGATGGGTTATGCATATATGCATCCAAATTCTTTGTTCGAATTCTTCCCACCTACCCACCCACACACCCTGTCTTCCCTCTGAAGTTTCATAGTCTGCTGCATGCTTTTATGTCTCCAGATCACATGTGTCAAACACAAGGCCCGCGGGCCAAATCCGTCCTGCCAGGCCTTGCAATGTGGCCTGCACCGCGCTGTCATCACTGCACTCCGCTGCGTTTCCATCACAATGACAGTTTATGACTGTTCAGTAAACCATTCGGCCCGTGATTTAGGCTGGATTTTAGATTTTGGCCCCTTCTCTGATTGAGTTCGACACCCCTACGAGTCTAGATCTATTTCTAGGTGAGATTATTAATGGGTTGTCTCTAGTCCCCATTTGGTTCTGTTTGGGCAAAGTTTTTCATGCCAGGCCACCTCAGTCTCCATACCACAGTTAAAGTGCCCATCCCTGATTGAGCCAGATTTGCCTTTGAGAGTGTGGCAGAGTGATATGGTTCAGAATTTGTCCACCTTGGACTGTTTCCATAGAAAGTGATTTTGGGGAGTGTTCCAATAAGAAAGGGGTATGAGCTTGTCAGTCACTGGTCAGCGCAGGAACTTTAATAAGATGAGAAGGAAAGTTATTGTATGGAGATCTTCTGAAGGTCACAGGATATTTTATTCATCCTGAAGGTCATGGGTAATTTTATTCAGCATTTATTTTTTCAGCAAGATTAATAATTCCTTGTGGCATTACAAATTGAGTGAATGAGGAAAAAGTAACACACTGCTACTATGAAGTGCCTCTAGTGTTCCTGTGTGTGCATGTGTCAGTTTTGGAAAGAGGAAAAAAACAAAACTAAACAAGGACCACCAGTGTTCCTCTTTTTCCTTTCTGCATCTGGAGAATTCTTTCTCAAGTCTAGTAACTACCTCCACACAGTTGTGTCTCCTTGGATTTTTATTTATCATTAGACTCTGGTAAAAATATTTCTTCCTGATAAGGGGATATTCTCAACCTACCCCTCAAAAAAATAAAATAAATGATGGTGGGTAGGATTTGTTTCTACATCACGAGGTTAATTAATTCTGGAGGTGCATTTCCTTTTCTTGGGGACTCACAGTGAACATTAATAGCATTGTTGTTGTTTTGAAATTTTTAAAAGTCCTGCAGGAAAGAAACTTGTTTAACTATCAATCCAGTTTCCAGGTCAAAAAAACAACACTTATTTTATTCCTTAGAAATTTTTTTAACCATTTCATAGTCTATAAACCACACCTTCTATTTCCATACGATTTAAACCCACCAACAGCTCTTAAGATTTAATTATCTAACCATCTCCTACTTTAAAATCTTCACAGAAATAAAAATTTAAGTAATCAAATCAACACAGCAAACAAATAAATAGTCTTCCTCTAGGACAGAAACAAATAAGCAAATAAGAGCAATGAAACAACAACAAAATGAACAAAAAATCAGAAAAGGAGGGAACCAAGTGTACTGTATTTTCCAGCGTATAAGACGACTTTTGAAACGAAAAAAAAGTCAACTGAAAATTGGGAGTCATCTTATACGCTGAGTATATCCCGAAAAACATATGCCATCATTGTTAATGTCCTCTTTTGGATTTCTTGTTTCTTGGTCAAGTTCATGGCATTGCCATTTGTGAAGAGACCTTCCATTTATCGTATCAATGTACAGTATATTATGGTATGTTCGAAAAATGTCATTCATTAAAAATTTAATTAAAAAAAGAACTGGTGTTGCCTTGGAAGTGGGGGGTAGTCTTATACAGTGAACATAGGCCTAAACCTATGTTTTAACTGTAAAATTAGGGGTCCTCTTATACGCCGGAAAATACGATACGAATACATTCCAGAATGAGAATAGCCTGTATAAGAAGAAGGAAATTATACAGAAAACAAAAGATAAATAGTTTATAAAAGCTTAAATCACTTTGAATAGTGTCTTATACTAGTATAATAATAAATAATCCTTGAAATTCAACAGAATTTATTTAATATTATTGTTTTAGTTTCCTAATACTTCCATACAGTTACCAAAACCTGGGTAACTTAAAAATGAGAAATTTATTTTCTCACAGTTATTTTAGTGGCTAGAAGTCTTATATGAAGGTTTTTCCCTCCCAAAGTTCCAGGGGAAGATCTTTCCTTGCTTCCAGCTTTTGGCATTCCTTGGCTATGGCAGTGTAACTCTAAACCTGCTCCATTTTCATATCTCTTGTTCTACGTTTGTGTGTGTATTTCCAGTGTCTAGCATAAGAATACTCTAATTGGATTTAGGACTCACATGTCATGCATTATGATGCTTTCTCAGCCTTAATTACATAGCAAATACTCTATTTCCCAATAAGGTGTTATTTGAGTTCCAGATGGTATTCAGTAACAACAACATTATAATCGTGCAAAGGACAAGATCCTTACAACCCTTGAAATAACAGAATTAAGCTAAATTCTGTCTAGGTAAAAACATTAGCTAGTTCAGGAAACATTAGTAGAACTAGGTACAACTTCTAGATCTCTTTTTATGTATAACTATTCTTAATGAAATTAAATTTTGTTGGCCTCATACCCTTTATAAAGAAAAATTTTCTGTAGAACTAAATTCTGAGAGATAGCATGTTAACACATAATTGTATTATCGATAGAATGCCAGTTGTGAGATCTGATTTCTAGTCCTGGAGATCTCAATCTCTGTGACCTCAGTGCAATCAGCCAGTGTTCTCTTTGGGCTGCAGTTTCACCACATGTAAATGAGATTGGAGCTTCTAGCTCTAAACTTGTATGTTTTATGTTTTTGCTTAGGTCCAGTTATTACTTTTGCTATTGGAACTACATTAGTGTTTAGAAATGATTTTGAAGAATGAGGGGGGGGGGACTTTCTTCCATAAGACTGAAAGATTTCTTAGCATCCCGTTATTTTCTTGCTTTTATAAATATTCTATTTAACCAATGACAGACAAGTATTTATAATTTTCTTTAAAATATCAAAGAAATCATCTTACAAATGTGTTACATAGCTATTTTTCAAACCTGCTGCTTGTTAGAATCCAGGCATTTGCTCTCCCATGACTGGTTTCCTTCCTTATTATGGTTTTTACTGGTTTCCTTTTGTTCAGCCCCTATTAAAATAATAAATAAATGAAAATACATAAACACACACTAATAGCTTTACTAAACATTTTCAAAGTGCAGTCATTTGAGAATATTCAATGGAGTCATGAATTTTAAATTCATATGGTGTTTAATCATTCAGATGAGAAAGGCTCTAAGGAAGTCATTTCATTATATTATTTTTGCTAAACAAAAATATTTTAAAATTGCTTTTATAAACCATTAACTGGCTATGTCTCAAATCATTCCCTTACTATAGATTCCTTCAACATTTTTCTTGTATTCTATATATTCACTTGTAACTGCTTATGTTCTATAATAGTTTCATGCATGTATGTCTGTTTCTCTCATTTAGATTTTATACTTCTCTGGGGAAGGGGTATTCTTGCACTCGTATTGTTTCATGATGGGAGGTATGTGCAATTTGTGTACAATAATGTGTGATTTGATGTGGATATTGACCCACCATCAATAACAACCTCTTCTATTCCAGCAGTGAAAATGAATTTACATTAATCAGGTACTATTTTGTAGCCCTGCATTTTTAGATGTAATCAGAGAAAACATGAAGCTAACTTCTTCCACATAGGAATCTAATCTGTTGGTTTGATCTAGACCATTGTCATAAGCTACAGACAACACAGCATGCTTTACACAGTGGTCTTTTTAACTGTTGCATGATAAATTA